CAATGGGCATTTTAACAGTTTTATTGACAGAAGGACATTACTGAACATATACTAATAGTTTAAGGATGAAATTGAAATGTTTAAAAGTTTATAGACTAATTTGAGATGCAAGTTAAAGTTTAGGGATGGTGGAGTGCAATTAACTCCTCTAAAAAATAAATCTGATAAAAGAAAAGGGAGGGTTATTATATCATGCAATGTCAGCGAAAAAAATTATTTCACAAGCATACCTATTTGAAGGTCAAATTGGGCAAATAATCCACCCAATTTATTTTTTGGCCCAATAGGACATCCTAACTTTTAATTTGGGATCTACGGAAATTGCAATAGTGCCCATAGAACTTGTCACACCGGTATGATGAGTTCCATACGATATAATTTTTTAATGAGCTGTGTCAGGTGGGTCTCGCATCCAAAATAAATTTAATATATATTGAGGGACTCATTACCCCAGCATGACGAGTCCCAATAAAAAATATTTTTTCAAATTTTTTAAAGGAAAAGTAAAATAAATAATATTTTAATGCCCATGGAACTCGTCACGCCAGTGTGACGAGTTTCAACAGGTATAAATTTGACTTTTTTTACCGTTGGATTGACTGTTGTTCAACGGTCGAATTTTTTTAAAATTACAATGGAACTCATCACGCCGGTGTGATGACTTCCAACGGCTATTTTCAATTTGAAAAAAACTAGCTGATGGGTAGAGTAGTATAAATAGGGGTTTGGGTTGGATTGATTTATCACTTGTAATCAAACATTCTATTGAGACCAAAAACTTTTGTGTTGACATGGTCTCAAGAGAAGAAATTTAATTTGTTTTATTTCATTTTAGTTTTAACGAAATGATATTATTAATAATAGTTATTTATGTAATTGTATAAATAATTGATTTTCAAATTGTAGCGAGAAGAATGAGTCATTCGTAATCGAGGAATGACGAATGAAGAGCCATATAAGTGGATAGTGATATATCTTTCACAGTCGAGATTATATGGAGCGACGTTTCTTCGCGGATTTAAGGTAATGTCGGCATTGATATCGGCGTTGATTGAGTGTTAGAGTCCCGAAACGCATACATTTCATTTACCTTGTGGTGAAGTGACGATAACTTTGGATGATGTCTTGTATCAACTTAGCGTTCCGATTAATGGTATGTCATTGGTGCTTCGCAACACTTATAAGGTAAATGATGTTATTTCAAATTTATTGGGAAAGGAGGCTCCAGCCGATGTCATTGATGGGTTGCGAGTACAGATGACATGGTTAGAAAGAAAATTTATAGTAGATGAACAATCAACTAAGCAAGTAGTGATATATACAGCTCGAGCATATCTTATGACGTTGATTGGAGGGATCTTGCTACCGGATAAATCGGGCAATTTGGTGCACACCCAATATCTTCCGATAATGGAGGATTTTGCTGTATGTCACCAATAAAGTTGGGGTTTTGCAATTTGGCGTTTGTTCATGAACTATGTAAAGCAATCGTATTCGTTAGAGGAAAAAAAAATGGATGTAGCAGGTTGTTTAGTTTTGCTCCAATCATGGGCTTGGTATCATCTCCCATTTATGAGGCCTATTACATCCTCTCCTATGGAGTTTCCTCTCGCCGCAAGATAAATTCATATGTTTAGAGTTTTGATATTTTATAATATTTATTTAAATATTTTGAAAATGACAATAAATAACATAATTGTTTTAGATTGTGACACCGAATAACCGATACAAAGTTGTCATGTGCAACCAAAGTAGATGCATGCGGTAAATGTTAGTATTTTTTGCATTAACTTTGAAATTGTAATATTAATTATTTAATTATACTAACATAATATTTTTGACAGTTTAATTGGATGCCTTATTATGACTAGGATATCCAACCGTGTCTACCGCCAATGTTCTTTGAAGGAGCAGAGACATGGTGTGCCATAACACCATAGCTCCATTTCGAAATTGTTGAGATTCATGTCGTCGATAGAGTTTTACGACAATTTGGGTTTCACCAACCGATAGAAATGTTAATATATAATATTGATGATTTGCATAAAATAGATGCGCGTGGGAAGCATATCGAAGATTGGCCGATGAAGCATTCTACATTCATACATCAATGGCAAAATAGACATTTACGATTGCCTAATCGTTCCGAGGTACAACCCGAAGATTTTGATTTCACTGTTTCTCCCTACCTCCAAAATTATGAAGCAAATAAGAAACCATACTTGATAACGCTGGAGGAGCAGTCCGAGTGGGAAATAATGAAGGCAAAATGTGGAAAACATCATCATCTTCATCAAATTTTCATCTTATGCTTCCGCCAATTATTATTCATCGCAAGAAAGTTATGGTAGATATGGTGCATATCAACCATCGATGGAGAGTCGAGCGGCGTGGGAAGGAAGTGGGTGGGATCAAGTGCCACCTTCACAATAATTTTCCTCAGAACCAGGAGAAAAAGGTTCATGGGATCATCGTCTTCATCACGTACAATCTCAAGTTGAAGCGATGGCGTCAAATACCTTGTGTACTCCATCATTTTCACCTGAAGATGTATATCAAAGTGGTGGAGTAGTGTTCGGCACACCGGAACTGGAAGAAGAGGACAATGAAGAAGGTAGACGATCACGATGAAATCGATGAGCACCACGTCATTACCATTCTACCACGCCTCAACATCGGCAAGAATTGCACAAATATAAGCAATAAAATTTTTTTGTACTCAATATTTAATTGTATCAAAAATTCATAGCTAACTAATAAATTTGTTGGTTTTTTTAAATTATAATTAAATAAAGTGTAATTTTTTTAAAATTATAAAAAAATTATAATTGTTTAAATTTCATTGATATTTAGTGTAGTTAATAAAATTAAAAACAAAAATATGTAAATTTTTAAAATTTTAAAATTTTAAAATTTTGAAGCTAAAAATAATATCAAACTTTTAGAATTTTTTAACAAATTTGAAGGTAAAAAACTACAAGGAACTAGTCAGACCAGTGTGACGATTTCCAACGGGTATAAATTCAAAAATTGGACCTGGGATGACCATTGTGGAACGGTCAAAAAAATTTAAATTAACTAGAACTCGTCACGTCGGTGTGACGAGTTCCAACGGCTATTTTGAAAATTTTAGTATAAATAGGGGTTTAGGGTGAAGATTATGATGTATGAGAAGTGACAAAAAATTGAAAATATAAAATATGTGGTCGTGGGAAAATTTTGGGATTGATTTGGCTAACAGTGTTTATGGGTTTCACATCATCGACTTGGAGATTGACGATTTGAATTCAAGCTATTATTCATATGAAGAGTGGGAAAAGGAGGCAACAAAGTACATAGTTGATGAGCATAAGAAGAATAAAATGAAAATGAAAAAGAAGGAGAAGAAGAAGTATGAAGTATGAAGTATGAAGATTTACCGAAGCGGCGTAGAAAATGACTAGTTGAGAGGGAAGAAAAAATTAAAAGAAGTATAGAAATTGAGAAGAAAAAGAATAAGACGAAGGAAGATCGAATTATAGATGGATGTAAAAAATTAAAAAAAATGGCATATGTTCAAATATTGATTTGTATGGTTTTAGTTTATGTATGATGTTGTCTTAATTAATTAATTATTGTCTCATTAAAATTCAAAATTTTATTTATCATTAAATGTGAAGTTATAGTTATCAAAATGATTAATTTTGAGTAAATTCTCAATTAAAAAACTTTAATGAAGTTTTAAATTTAAATTTTAAATTGTAAATTATAAATTTGTCTTCTCCATTTTCAATTAAAAAACAATATTGATATTGTTCATTTGGTACTGATACCAAAGGTAAAAGAAGTATCGATACTCACTTGGTAGTATCGATACTACCAGTATTTTCCAAACGGGTCAAATTCTAGAATGCAAAATACGTACCGATACTCATGGGGGTACTGATACTACTTCACGCAATAGTCTTGATACTATAAAGAGGAGTACCGATACTGTCCAACCCAATGGTCTTAAATGACTAGATTTATTTAAAAAATACAAAGGTCCTACCGATAATCATTGACTAACTAGGGGTTTTCCAAAGGTTACTCTTAATCCTTGAAAAAGAAATCACAAATTTTACTAATAGTTTGGAACTAGGGGGTTTTACAGTACATAATATTTTGTAACGCCTATTTTAGCGTCCAACTTGATATTTTGGAAGATGTGGACAATGACCGATACTGTCCAACCCAATGGTCTTAAATGACTAGATTTATTTAAAAAATACAAAGGTCCTACGATAATCATTGACTAACTAGGGGTTTTCCAAGGTACTCTTAATCCTTGAAAAAGAAATCACAAATTTTACTAATAGTTTGGAACTAGGGGGTTTTACAGTACATAATATTTTGTAACGCCTATTTTAGCGTCCAACTTGATATTTTGGAAGATGTGGACAATGTATTCTGTTATGACCTTCACCTCTGCAGTGGCCACAAAGTTTGGTTGACCTGGCTCTCTTTGAGGATCATCCATATCGGTATGAATTCGGCTAGATTCAGGTTAACCCCATAACTTCCTACACAATTGAGGATTTGGCAACCATTCCTTAGAAATTGTGCATGGATACCAGTATATTTCATTTGGGAGGTATTTGAAGTCACAACTGTAAATGTTGCGCATAGTGTGCAAGTTATAACAATCATCAGCATATAAGTATGGGTCAACATTGATGTGCATACATACAGCAACAATGTGAGCGTATGGGAACCTAAAAGCTTGAAATCGACCACAATCACACCATCTTCTATTCAGATTACCAGTGTATGTTGTAGAATTATCTCCCTCATGTGGTCAAACTAGTGTTTGGACAACGAAATCAAAACCAAATCTGGCAAAATTGTGGACAAACATTGATGTCGCATGTGTTTGATTCTTTTATATTGCCTTCTCTAAATCTGGAGCCCAATTTCTCCCATCGCTGGTCATGTCATCAATTTGTGCACTTTTGTCTACCCATAATATACCAAACCTAAAGTAAGTCTCCCTAACAATACTTGCTATTGGGAGATGTCAAGTCCCTTTCAGCACTGAGTTGATACATTCAGCAAGGTTGGTAGTCATATGGTCGTAACGTCGACCCTCAACATCATATGCTTGTGACCATCTATCCCAAGGGATTTCAGCTGTGAACTCATACACATCATATCCATATCTTCTCAAATTTTCAAGCCGTGCACGGAAATTTGGTTGGAGTAAAGCATACCTTAAAAAACAGTAAATTAAATGTTATTGAAAAAAAATTAATGAAGCATAAATAATTAATGACAAAAGCTAAGGTACTTACCCATGTTGATAATCTCATTTTTTATCTTTTTTCTGCTTAAACCTCTTCATTTCATTCGACTCGATATGATGTATACAATATGCAGGATATGCGTGCGGTGGCATCCATCTATTTTCGGGTCAACCAATTGTGCTTAATAACCCAGGCGACTGATCTAAGATCATGCAAACCCTTTCTTGAGTGATAACATGGGAACGCAAGTTGGAGAGAAAGAAATTCCAAGTTTCCTCCGATTTATTTTTAACAATGGAGAAGGCAATGGGAAAATATTTATGTCTCCATCTTGTGCAACGGCTATCATCAAGACGTGTCTGTAGAGCCCATACAAAAAAGTGTCATCAACTTGAATCATTTGTTTGCAAAATCTAAACCCTTCGATAACTGGCTTAAACGTCCAGAACAAGGCACCAAAAGTTATCTTCCCAGGGATAACGTCTCCCTCAAACGTGACTGCAGGATGAGTATTGTACCTAACAATGGTTTCAAGGATGAAAATTTTCATTGCTTGCAGCAGACGTGGTGGTAGCTCATTAAGTGACTGATCCCAATCACCATGCAACAAGGTCATTGTTTTTCGTTTAGCCATCCATGCCTTGTAATAAGTCGGAATATAACCAAATGTATTTCGAATGGATGCCACTAACATAGAAACATGCACTCTTGGATTTTTTTTTCCACCAACAGCTTCACATAAGAGCATATGACATCCGAATCTAAATGTTTGTGGTCATGTGTCAATGAGGTCATTATACATGCGTGCTCTGCATTGAACCTTGTGACTTCCCACAACATCTTCTGTTGTAGGTATGGTACTCGTATCCTCTATTTACGGCTAACATCATGGTGTATACACCTTACAAAATAAGTCTTTTGATCCTACTCCGCGACATAGAATTGAAGAACCCAATAGCCTCTGTTTTTATTTGAAACTGAGACCCAATAGCCAACTCAGATGACCGCTCGTCTGAAGAACCCCAGTGGGCAGCACATAACTCTGGCATATCAAATATTTCAGGATTCCGCATAGCATCATAGTTAATGTCATGCATTGCAACTGCATAATGATATCGAGGCAAATCATGGTGAGGTATTTCAGGTTGAGGGCCTGTCCTTGCCCAAACATTTGGAGTATTCTGCAATCCTTGACATCGTGAAACAACTATCTCCCATACATCAGCCTAAACATCCAAACCTTGTCCATCTGAAGTAACCTCAAAAAAATCAGACTCATCGACTAATGGTATGTCGTCATCGTCTACCAACGGAACAATGTCTTCATCATCCTCGCTAAATTCAGCAGGGCTTTCGTCGAACCGTCCAACAAGGTTATCATCACCATAACTTGCATGTGGTTCAAATGGTCTTGCTTATTCTGTTTTTCAAGCTGGTATTGATGACGTCGGAATATCAGTTGCATTCGTGGTTTCGACATATATCTCCACCATATTATTATTTGATGATTGATGAAGTCCAACCATAACAGCAACATCGTCGTCGTCATCAACCTGAACTTTTCCATATGTCATTGGATTTGAGGAGATCAGGTGCCGATAACTTAAACATGAAACAGAAGCTTCAAGTTTTCTCTCTATTTTTTGCTTCATTTGGCGATGAGATACATCTATAGGGAACATCATATTGATGGGCCTGTGTGACTTAAATACAACACCAACATTACTTCATAGAATTTCACCATTATAATGGACAACTGTGAAGAATTTGTTGCTCATTGTTTGAAATATTTTTGGTTAGATGAAAGGAGTTTGTTGTGTAAGAGATTGAAGATGAAAGGAGTGTGTTATGTAAGAGATTGAAGATGATGTGTACAACTTAAAGGGAAGACATTTTTTTCCCGTTGGAACTCGTTATTGGAACTCGTCACACCGACGTAACGAGTTTCATTGAAATTTTAAAAGAATTTCGAACGTTGAACAACGGTCAATCCAACAGTCAAAAATTAAAATTTATACCCGTTAAAACTCATCACACCGGCGTGATAAGTTCCATGAGCATTAAAATATTACTTTTTCTTTTATTTTAAAGTTTTTGAAAAAAAATATTTTTATTAGGTATATATTAAATTTATTCTGGCTGCGGGACCCACCTGACACGACCCGTTAAAAAATTATATCCTATAGAACTCATCACGCCGACGTAACAAATTTCATGGCACTGTTGCAATTGTCGTAGATCCCAAATTAAAAGTTAGGTTGCCCTAATGGGCCAAATAATCCAGGCCCTTATTTGAATGCCCTTCGGTATACTTAATTATCCTAACTTCTCAATCCTAACCGATTGTGGAAAGCTAATAAAATATAACTAAAGCAAAAAAAAATTGAAGTCAAAATAAAAAAATAATGTTGAGAGCTAGCTATCAGGTTTTATTCTTACATTAGCAAAAACAGTTTTCTTTTTGTCTTTTTAAGGTAGCAAAAACAACGGTCAGTGAAACCTTCACTGATTAGATGAACCAGATTCAGCAGATGGCCCTGGGGCTGCTGGGGCAGAACCCCCTGATGATGTAGATTATGGTGGTGTGTGCTGTGGTGGAGGCCTTGGTGGCCCAGAATGTTTATACTGTTGAGGTGGACCACAAGGCGGAGGCATTGCTGAATGATACGGAGGATACTGCTGATAAGGCAGCATTGGTTGCATCTACCCGAATGGTGGATAATGCTGATGAGGATATTGCCCAGGTGGTGGTGGGGGCATAGCTTGATAGGGATTATGTTGCCCTTGTTTTTCTGATCCAGGTCTGTTCTCCCCGTCGTTGGACGGAACCAGAGCACCCATCCTTTGAGGATCCATTGATGGATAGTAGGCTCTGTCCAGCTGAGGAGGAGGTGGGATGTTAAAATACTGCATAGGTGGGGGTTGGTCATGCATGCCAGGCCCAGATGGCTGGAATTGGTTCTGCTGCTGAGATATTACTGCCCGGGGCAACATTCCACTATGAGCCACTGCTGCTTGCTGTCTGGCTCCATTGGAGGTTTCTGAATCGGGTCTTGGTGCCTGCGGCTTACCCCACATTAGCTTTAGCCTAAGACCCTTTATGACTAGCTTGCTAGAAAGCTCTTCTGCAGCCTTCTCAGCTCCTTCTCTGGTTGTGTATGTAACAAAGGCACATGCCTTGTCAAGGACCATCTTTATTGATTCGATTTCACCATGGGCATAGAAGTTATCCCTTAAATCTTGCTCAGTAATCCTTTTATCCAGCCCACCAACGTAAAGTGTTCTAATGCTTTCATCTTCGGGAGCTTCCAAAGAAGGCATTTCACAAGCCTTGTTAAGTAGCTTCAGTGCCACAGGATCATTCACACTGCAAATATTTAGGGGCAACAACAGAGACAAAATCATTCACAATATTAAAAAAAGCATCATCTGCTGTGTAAGCATATTAAGTTTGTCGATGAATTGCAGCATTACCATTAATATCTAGAGATGAACATTAAAATGACAAGGAACTAAAAAGTAAAAAACATAAAGACAGAATATTTCATGCCTTCATGACCAGTGACATTGCTTTCCACGGCCAAACACATTTGACAATTAACACAACAAATTCACACAAAAGGATATAGAAAGATGGGGAAAGGACATGCTGTTAAAAAGACTTGATAAAATTTTGTTCATGACATGACCATCCCACCACTGCGACCCAATAAGAAGGGATATTCTTTAAGGGCTAATGCCTAAACCATCTTCCAGACAATGTTCGTTCCATGAAAACATAGTTCCATTAATTTTTTTATCATTAGAAAAAGAAGAAAGAAAAGAGCTCACCCATAGTATCGGTCTTTTATATTTTGCTGGGACAACTCCCCATCTTCCGGCATCTCATGCCTATAGGGGCACTCAGCACCTCTAGTACATTCACCCCGCACATAAAAACTGCAAATATGTGCCCGGTTTCTTTTGTAGTATGGTGTTGTTCTCTGAAGCTTCAGAATAGTGTCATTTGGCCGTACCTTCCCGTATGAGGATTCATAATCTAAACCAGCTCTTGCCTGCAATCCACAAATTTACTTAACTAAGCATAAGAGAAAAACAGAAAAAGGAAATAGGATAACTAAAACAAAAAAATAAGACACGCTTATAACCATCAACTCCATCTCATTCGCACAGCCATAGAGCTTTAAGCATCCATGATCATAGAGAAGAAAAGAGGAGACATCACAAATTTACCAACTATGGAACAGTTTTTATAAAAACAATTCCAGTGTTCATTACTCCATCTTACAATTTCTTTCAAAATTATATGCCAGCAGACAACAACTACAAATCAACAAAATCTGAAGGAAAAGCTTTAACATCAGATTTTAAACATCATAACAAATTTATTCCCAATACAGTGAGAGTAATTAGTAAGTGACAACTGAAAAAACCACAAACTCAAATGCAAAGCAGTGAATATGCAAAACTTAACACTCATCATGAATTAAATGCTGGGTACTAAGAGGAACAAGGAGAGATGGTGTATCTACATATCAACTCAAGAAAATGTAAGCTGCACTAATGTGTTTGGCAAGTACATGAGCTAGCAAAAGGGTTCAGCTTTCACATTGTGCAAATCTCTACTAATGCATGATAGAAATGCAAAATATCTTTACAGCAAATTTCCAAAGGCAACTTGAAATGCTTCAGCTACTGCAATGACAACCAAAACAATAGCATTCTATAAAGTAAACAGTTTACCAAGAACTTGCTTGAAAATTTTCATATAAGATGACACTTTTAAGAGGTTCACTCTCTTCATAAAAAGATGCTAAAAGATAGCTGTCAAGCACGAAAATACATACCCTGCGGTCATGCTCCTCAGCAAAATACTCCCTGTTCACATCACTCTTTGGAATGGCATCATTGGAGATTATGCTAAGAGCAGTATCCCGAACTTGAACTGGCAATCCGTACTCAAGATCTAAAAGGCAGACTTGACAAACGTTTTTCAACTTACTGCAAGTCTGACAAAGCTCAGTTTTCTTATACCTTGCATCACGACCTGGCCTCCACCTAAAGACTGTAAATGGCCGTGTACAAATCTTGCACTCCTTATCATAATCTGCTTTTGTCTGTAACCAGTGTTTAAAGAAACCCATAAGAGAAAAACACAGAAATTTATATTATTAAAAAAACAAAAGGAAATTAAATTCAAACTCCAAGGTGAATCTATAGGTTCAGAACCATAGTCTAACTGTCTTATTATATCGCAATCCTTTCTTGCTGCTTATGCAGATGCTGATTAGAGTTATCTCAACCAATGTAACAGAAATACACATGTCATGAAATTTTCAAATATGTCCGATTAGTATTACTATTACAACCTAAATGCTAGTGTAAACCATCTTGTTGTTTTATACACAGAAAATTCATTTGGGAGAATCTTATTTCATTTTTAACCAAGGCTATAGAAGTCATAGAACTGGAAGCAAGAAAAAAGGCAAATGTAGAAACAAACAATATAACAGGTCTACTAGTTCTCACTAGTAAAAAAAATTGCAAGAATCAAGAGAAGAGTACAGTCAAAACCTGCCCCCTTCAATTCAAATTTGATAACCCCTTGAAAAAAATGATTTATTATTCTACGTTTTCACCTCAGCAAAAGAGGGTCAACGGTCAACCAAATTATAGAAAGTTTCTGTATTTCCAACTGCACACATACACTAACATGATTGTTAACATTATATAGATATATGACTAAAAGCAAAACCAAAAACAAAAGGTTAAATCCTTACAAAGTATTTAGTAAATGAAAACTTGGTTTACTGTTCCCACAAAAAAGAAGGCAATTCAAATTCCCTAAACAGGAGATGAAGAGAGTGAGACAGAGAGAGTATTAAAGAGACTAAAGTTAATACCATTCGGACATATGGATTATCACCAAGGCATGACTCACAAATGATAGGGAAGTCGGAGCGTTCCCAGCCATCCGCCTCATGATCTCTTAACAATCGGTGTGCCATTTTATACTTTGCAGAACCTCGTGTGGCTATTCAAAGCCTTTAATTTGTAGCCTATGTCCTAATTCCAACTGCAAGTTAATTTATGAGAAACAAGAATGATGTACCAAACGCTCATTAGCAATATTCTAGGATGAATTTGCAGGCATAACGGAAATCCTAAATCAATTAAAGAAACACCATATATATGTATATATAAAACTTTAGCAGATCTTTCTAATTTAACATGCTACCATGTATCATAGGAAGTATACTACTCTTCATCATAAGAAAAATTAATTTTTTCATTCCATTGTTATGAAGTACAACCCCTATAAACTCAGATGAAAGACAAACTAACATACGTAAACTATTTGGGAGAAAAACGTTCCAAAATTGTAATTTCATTTTTTCCCGTCTTTCATATTCAGCCGATTCGACTACAACCATTTAAATGATATAAACTAGCTAAATTAAAAAATCACAAAAGCAACACACAAAAGTTTAAAATAAGAACATCAAAGGTTGTAAAAGAGAAACTAAAAGGTACCTGAACCGCAATCGATAAGGTGCGCCGGCGATTGAAACTTAACCGGGGAAACGATAGGTCGATAGAAGCGAAAGAGATCTCGCAGGGCAACCGCAAGAGAGGGATAGGGCTGAGATTGTTTTTGCGCTCTTTAATTTTCTCTCTTCAATTTTTTAAACCTTCTGAATAAATTACATAAATAATATCTATACTTTCTTATTACTCCTGATTTGTTCACTATACTTTAACACATTTAAATTTAATCACTAAACTTTATATATAGAAGTTTTTTTAATCACCATCATTTTTCTCTTCGACCATGCGATGAAATGGTGTTCTTTTATTAAATTTATTTTAACTTCCAAGTAGGCTCTAAGTAATATTTTTTTAATATTATTTTTTATATTTTTCACTAATATATTCTTCGTTTCTTTTCATCTAAAACAAGTTTTGATGAAGGCAAGCTATCGACAAAATAAAAATGAGATATTATACATGTAAGTAAGATAGAAAAAAATCGTGATAAAGAGAGACTATTGAATCGAAGAAGCATTCTTTTTTAATTTTTTTTTTATTTTTGCTTAGTTTATCACCATGAATTTGGATCGAGATCTTTCAACTACACCTCCTCCTATCTTCTATGTTTGTTGTCGCATTAAATCCAAATAAAAGTATGTTAGTCCTTTCGTCACTTTATGTCTCCTCACTATCCGAATCTGGAAGGCAACCCTTCGAACATGAGTGACCATCTCTAGCCGAGCATAGGTAGTCTCCTATTTCCTTCTCTTTTCTTTTGATATTCTTTTTTCTTGTAACTAGTCTTTCTTTGGGTTTGGTTGTTTGGATTAGAGAAATTCAAGGAAAAGATTTAGGAATTTTGGTGTTTTGATGGCTTTAAGGTAATGATGGTTGTGTTAGACAGATGGAAAGGGTAGAAAGTTTTGGTGATTAAGAGTTAGGGCTTCACTTGGTGGCGATAGGTGATAACGATAAGATATGGGTATTTTATTGCTTTGGTTAAGAGAAATGATTATTTAGAAATTATTTGAAAAGATGGTAATGTGATAGTGGG